CTCCTGGATACAGTGAGTGAGTGTGTGGTGATGACGGTGCTGACAGCTGCAGGACGCCAGACAGCAGCTGAGAAAGCATGAAGCTCTGAGCTCAGAGGGTGTTTGGAGAGAGAGAGTTGAAGAGATTCTATGAATTGTGCATGAATTTGTGACACACGTCCGTCGGCAGATGAGAGTTTTGAAGTGTTATATCTCGAATGGCTCACTGGACCTAAGCATTTAATTATTATTAGCTCTGCGTGTGTGCATGTGGGTCAGGTATTACCGCCCATATGTGGACCATCAAACCTACTTGTGGGGACCAACTGCTCCTTATGTGGATCTAAGCTTGGTCCACGTGGGGGCAAATGTTTTGGGGTAAAGGGTTAGACCATAGAAATGAATGGAAGTCAGTGCAAAGTCCCCATAAAGATRAGAGTACACAACATGTGTGTGCACTTGAAGTCATTCTGCAGGATTGTGTCATCAGTAGGGCTGCCACGATTAATCGATTAATCGACAACTAATCGATTATTTAAAAAATCGATGACTAATTTAATAATCGATTAATCATTTTCTTTCTTTTTGTTGTTGTCTTTGTTTTTCCTCTCCAAACTGGTTTGACAACTTCCACTGCCACATCTGCCTTTCTGTCCTTGACACACATGCACAGTAGTGGTAACTGGGGTAGGCCGTGGACGTCACAAGACATTATACAGACAGGCTCTGGTATTATGGCTACCTGACAACGGAGCTCAAAATTGTGGGATCTTTTTAAGAAAATGAAAGAGAAACCTGTGTAATATCTGCAGAGCAGAACTTGCCTTCCACAGCAATTATTTTTAGTTAGCATATAGCTAAAATCTAAAGATAGTTATATAATAACAGCTGCATTCTGGCGTGATAAGCTGTATGTTTTATATTCAATTAACGTATGATCCAATTAGTCGACTAATCGAAAAAAAAATCGGTGATTAATCGATTATAAAAATAATTGTTTGTGGCAGCCCTAGTCATCAGCCTTCAATTTGTTTGTGTCCTTGAGTCTAGCTGAACGTCACTCGTTAAGGATGGGTCATTTGCATGAAACAGCTGGCCTCTGTTGCTTTGTTGTAGCACGCAAATTAAAATCTGGACCCRTTTTCTCAGCTTTTCTCTGCAGCAGGAATCTCCAAATTCTATGTCCTTGGACGTATTTACACCATGTCACCTTTGCATCAGATGGTTTTCTGCAGTTTTTAAACATGGTCTTCAATTTGCTGCATAAAAGCTGCAAATCAGAACGTGTTATGGTCAGAATAACTGAACAGCTTTGATACAAAAGTAATGTGTAAAATCCATGAAAAGCACTATCTTGTGCATTATTTCTGAAGCACAGCATGTGCCATTCTTCAGTGCGTGTTAGGGCTGCACAGTGGTGCTCTTGTTTCGCACTGCTGCCTCAGCAAGAAGGTCTTGGGTTCAAAAGGTCTTTGTGTCTGGAGTTTGCATGTTCTTCCTCTGCATTCATTGGTTTTCTCCACATAGTTTGGTTTCAGCCCTAAAACATGTTAGGTTAGTATTTTACTGCAACTCTGGGAGACTAATTGTTGACGCAAATTTATGATAAAATCAACAAACGCCTTTTTATTTGCACAGCTTATAAAGCTATTCGAGGCCATCCATATTGTTTTGTTGTCCTCCTCCACCCATATTTATTTTATTTACTGTTATTTTATTTACCGTTATTTAACAAGGAAAGTTCCATTGACATCGCAGATCTCTTTTTCAAGGGAGGCCTGGGCCTGAAGGCAACCTATTGTACATATTTTTGTACATGTACATGTATTGTACCCACATTGGAAACCACTCCAATGTTTATGACTTAATCTAATCAAGTGGACTTTTCAAATTAAGCTAGACAGATTTACAGTTTTTTAAATCAAATCCAGCAGTCACTGGGCGAGGGGCAGGGTACCCCCTCGACAGGTCGTATTTCAAGTCCATTTCTTAAATTGTATTATTAGCATTAGCATTGTCACAGAGATGACAACAAACAACTCTAGTTCAATAGAACTTATGGAAACTAAACAGATGAGAGTCCAAGATACTCACAATAACCTTTTATGTAAAAAAAAATGGTACATAAATTCTTAAACGTGCTCAAAATTCATGCAACAAAACAGACAGCCTCTGAGACTTCCAAGTAAAAAATAAAACACATGTTTTGAGACATTTTGAAGATGATGCTGTTCACCAACTAGTTGCCAACAGATCCCGGCTTGAACTAGAAACTCAACGTTGTCCTCTGGTGGAGTTTGCATGTGTGTTTGTTCATTTAATGTATCCCTGTATTGGCCCTGTGATGAACCAGCAACCTGTCCAGTGGGCACCCCACCTCTTACCTTTTAGAGATGTGGACACCAGCCCCTCGTGACCCTGAACAGGACTTAGGCAGTTGTACGATAAAAATAAGGATGGATGTTTCACATGGGTCATATTACAACACACATCATGTCCCAGCTAGTCTAGACTACAGTATGAATAACAGCTACGTAACTAACGCTAAATGTTTTTGTTGGCTGAAACCTCCTCTGTGAACAGGTCCCAGTCTGACGAGTCATTAGCTTGAGAACGTCGCCCTCGTTCTCCAATCTGAAATTCTTCTGACCACGGTCTGCTGCAGTTACCAATGGCTGCGATGACTCCATGGACCTCCACTTCAAACGAGACRAGCTCTCCCTTTAAATGAACTCTGAAGAGGTTCCACATCTCTCAGTCACATGAGAGCTGAGCACAGCCTGCTTTGTGTCCTTTTAGAAATTCTTTTCAACTTCCTCTGCCTTCTCTGAGCCACTGTAGGAGAGTCAAGAGTGCACTTAAATAAACACTGCGCCTGAGAGAACGGCTCCTCTGTCAAACTGGGACGTAGGAGTTGTGAAGGAAGCATTAGCATCGCCGGAATAGAGCGTTTGAATTTTGTCCCAAGTGCTTGTAAAAGTAAGAGATCAGAAGTTGAGGCGAGGGATGGGTTGGGGGGCAGGGTGTATTTTGAGTGTGGTGTGTGTGTGTGTGTGTGTGTGTGTGTGTGTGTG